CGATCGACTGAATCGAACGCACTCTTGAAATCGAGGAACACAGCTATTGTCGGTCTGCGGTATGCGTGGCGCTACTCTAGCACCTGCCGCAAAGTAAATATATGATCTATACAGCCACGTCCTGGGCGAAAACCGGCCTGCTCTTCTCTAATCCGAGATTCCCGTTCTGCAGTGAGGCGACGAACGATAATCGAGGCCAGTAATTTTGTCACAACTGGCGTTAGGCTAATACCCCTGTGGTTCGCACAGTCTGTGCGACTGCCATTCTTGTACATTGCCACTACAATCGATTCGCTCCAATTAGCCGGCACACTCTCTTCGTTCCAGATACGTTCGAATAGGGAGGTCAGTGCTTTGCAGAGGACCTCACCTCCATCCTTAAATAGTGCAGGTGGTAGGGAATCCGGGCCAGCGGCACGAAAACGATTGAGGGCTGTGATCGCGTTTCGGACCTCGGCCTCCGACGGAGGCTCTAAACTAACCGTCCATGGCTCGTCCTGCATCACCTGAGTAGGAAGAGGTCCGGGAGCAGGGGGCCAGCTGAACTGATGTTTAAAGTGCTCAGCCCAACGAGCCATACGGCGCTCCTTATTGTGTATCAGTGCACCCGCGCTGTCCCTGATTGTCTCACTGACGCCTGGTTTTCTCGGACCAGTGGTGCGTATTAGCTGGAAGAGCTTCCGGTAATTGCCTACTGCTCTTGCCTCCTCCAATTCTTGAGCCCGACTGGTCCACCAGGCTTCCTTGTCAGCACGTAGGCTCCGCATTAGTTCACGCCTAATAGCCCGTCTGGTCACATTGTGTTCAGAACCAGCCGGGAGGTGTCTTCTAGCTTCCAAAAGGTTCACGGACCTCTCGGATATCCAGTGACTGGTGCGATGACGACTGATAGTGCCACAAGCAGATGCTCCTGCGTCGTGCATAGTGGCCGAGATCCTATTCCACTGAAGTTCAGTATCATTAGGACAAGACAGCGAGAGTTCGCTATGCAGTGCTTCTTGATAGGCTTGCCTGACAGAGGGCTGGGACAATTTCTCCGTTGCCAATCGGGGGAGACGCTTTGTGCGCCTTCCGGTAAAGTTCATGGAGAAACGACAGCGCACCAAGGCATGGTCAGAGTCGACACAGGTACTCCAGTACGAGCGGCAATCCAGAATGGAACCGCGCCACCTGTGACTTATGGCTATGTGGTCAATTTGGGTCCATCGCTGACCAGCTACAGGTGGACGCCAAGTGGCACTTCGGCGCCCACTGTGTCTAAAAGCAGTGCTAGTAAGAAACAACTGGTGCTCCGCACACAGTTGCAGCAGACGCTCGCCGTTGTCAGTTCGTTCGGCGTTAAGTCCATACTTACCACCCAGCTGAGCTTCTGAAGAGCTCAGACGCCCTACTTGTGCGTTCATATCCCCAGCAAGTACTATAATATCTGAACTAGTAGCACTGCGTAGCAGCGTGTTCAGTTCGTGATAGAAAGTGTCCTTGACTGCATTAGAACTACAGTCAGTGGGAGCATGAACAGAAATCACAAACAAACAGCGTTTTGTTTTACTTCGCGAATTCACCTTAGCTGATGTCGTCAAACGGGCTGCACATAAACGGCTGTTCACCGGAATCCAATCAACCAACGATGACTCAGCTTTGGAGCTTAGAATGATACCTACACCTGCTTGACACGTGAGTGCCGCATCGGCGTCTCTGGATGCGTGCAACCAATAACGAGAGGATAAACCGGGTGCAGTCAATTCAATAACCCCGTTAGGGTCATTAATCCTAGTTTCGGACACACAACACACATCAACACCCAGTGTGTGATTTAATTTTACAGAAATGGACGCCATCCCATTTCAAACCCCCAACCTGGAGGACCAGGAGACTGAGTTTGTCTGACCTCTCACCATTGACCAAGCTGGTAGGAGTAGCTCTCAAGATGCTCGGAGGCATCACCCAGTATAGCTCAATGGGTCAATGAGGTACGCAAACCGTCGCACCACGTTACGGTCCAGTCTCGTTGCGACGGTCAGATTTTGACTGGCCTACTTTGAACGGCCTGAAGCAGCAAGAAGTGAAGGTGAGTTTGGCGGACACGCCGACACTGGATGAGACGCAGAGAGCACTTGCTCAGCTGCGAAACGGCAAGTGAGCCGCTGCCGACGGCATCCCGCTTGAAGTATTGAAACAAGACGGACCCGGGTTGGTAACCGGGTTCCACTACCGTGCAATGCATGTGGATTGATGAGGAGGTGCTTCATGAGCTGAAGGATGCCCCAGTGCCATTACGGTAAAAGGGGAAAGGAAGCAGGCAATGTGCCGCAAATTATCGTGGTATCAAATAGCTGAGTTGTGTGCGCAAGGCAATTGCCCGAATCCTGCTTAGCCGCCTCGTTACTCAGCTTCTGGAGCTGAACGTGGCAGACGAGTAACGTGAATGGTCGTTCGGTTCACAGCATCATAGATATGGTTTTTGCGCCTCGTCAGTTGCAGGAGAAGTGCAGAGAACGACAACAGCCATTGTGCTCGCTCTTTGTTGATTTCACCAAGGCATTTGATACGGTGAACCGCGAGGCATTGTGGCTGATGTTGGGTAGATTTCGTTTTCCGAGTAAACTTGTAAGTTTAATTAAATGTCTGCACAGTGTTATGCAGACAAGGGTGCAGCTGAGTAGAGAGACCTCGGATGACTTTGCAGGTATCTCTGGTGTGAAGCATGGATGTGTCTTAGCTCCTGTCCTGTTTAATATATATCTTCATGCCATAATGTCTTGTGCTTTTGATACGGCTTGTGTTTTCAGTGTTTGTGTGGGGCATCATATTGATGGTGGGTTGGTGAACATCCGCAGTTTTGGTGGGAGAACGCTAGTCTGTGAGACAACTATCCGTATGTTGCTGTTCGCTGACGACTGTGTGTTGTTTGCACACAGCGCGGATGAGTTGCAGCACATGACTAGTGCTCTGGCTTCGACAGCGGCCAAATTCGGGCTCACCATCAACACAAGCAAAACTGTCTGTCTCTTTCAGCCCTCACCGGAGGTGCAATCTTCAATATTGCCGCAAATCAGCATTGGTGCTGAAGTATTGGTAACCACCTCCCGCTTCTGCTACCTTGGGAGTGTGATGTCGACTGACCAGCAGATACACATGGAGCCGCGTATCCGCGTCTCGAAGGCAGCGGCGGCATTCGAGAAGCTGGAGTACCGAGTGTGGAACAGCCATCTGGTTACCACTGGCATGAAGCGGATAGTGTACAAATCCATGGTGCTGTCCGTTCTTCTGTACGGCAGAGAAACCTGGTCGATTTACCAGCGGGATGTGTGATATCTCGAGCGGTTTCAGCAACAGTATTTGCGACGGATTCTGCGCGTCGGTTGGTGAGACAGAGTTACAGACACGTAGATGTTGCGCCGAAGTGGAATGTATGCAGCCGACTGCATACATTTGCTGAGACACCGTAGGTGGCTAGGTTACGTGTGATGTATGGATTCAATTCAGATGTCGAAATTCAGATGTGGAAACCGAATCCTCATTATCAGGTAAAATCAAAGTGGGCCTCTCAAGTTCTAATCTTTATTGCAGGTCATGGGAATCGAAAGCGGTTGATCGGCATGCAAGGCGCGACCTGATCACGAAGGCATTTGCTGAGATGCAGGAGAAAGCCCTCATGCCTGCCGAGAATAAGTGGCAGGTTCAGAAGTGGCAGGCTCCGATGGGTTGTACTGCATGGATATCGAGCGCATGGTGCTGTAGCACATGAGGTCGCGAGTGTCTGACTCAAGCAGGCCTAGTGATCCATGAGCCAGGCCACTCGGGTCCAGCACCGAAACGACGATGAGTCCTGCTGAGGACGTAGGCAGAACCGGCGCAGCATTGGTAGGTACGCTGACTTCGATTTACTAACCGCGTGCTTGCATGCTGAGTCTCATTATTTTAGCTAGTGGGTTTGCTATACTGGCCTAATGCTTTTGTATCTCTTAATTATGTCTGACTGAACCATCTTCTATAAACGTGCACAGGTTGCTTAAGCTAATTGTTGTTAACTTCGATAAAATTTTCGCGTTTGTGTCATTTTCTTAAAATATGTTTCCTAACTTCGTGAGTTTATCGCGGATTTGTTCGTAACCAATATACTTGATATGCTTATTTAGTGAAGAGTTATATCACAGTATCTATATGCATTGTTCGATTCATCTTATTTGATGGCGTCGTTTTAACTGATTGGCTGTTGCTTGATATCCCCAGGTGTGGTTGCGCTGGATGTGCATATTGACAATGTGCCTACCTGTCTATTACCTACCACGTTGTCCATACTGGCTCCAAGTGACAGCTGGACGTAGCTGGAGAGGACGGAGTGCACGTTTCTCGTGGCCGCGCTAGGCTCGAAGAGTGGTTCCATGCACTCAGTGTGGAGCGGACTACGGTCCAGCCACCGCCTTCTGTGCGGTTGATTCCCCAAATACAACGTGCTTGTGTTTGCCTGTGAAGGAGTGTGGGCCGGCTCCGTTGATGAAACGTGGCTCTCATTCGCATGCCTCCCGGTCTTATTCCTTCGTATTTACACTGGATATGGGATGTGTGGATGGAGCTGTGGGTGGTGCTGTGCAGTACACCCGTGGTCCCTCTGTAGGCGCAGGTGTCCTGGGACTGGCCATAGTGACAGGCAAATCCGAAATCGGCTGCTCCTGTAACCTGTCGTGAGCAGCCCCATGCAGCATATTTTATACAGGTTAAAAGTGCGACTTCTCTGCGAAATTCTCTGCATTTAAAATGGAAGAGGTAACTGATGGTTTTTACATTGTGGTCAGAAAGAATCGAGTGCCGTTTTCTCTAGTTAACTGCATGGCCAACGAATTTGTCTCGTCAGATCCTGACTATTAGTACTCGTGACATTGGGATTCCGTCAGGAATAACCAGTTACACACAGCGATTCACCCAAGTTCCTGTGGCTGCCCCTAGTGTCCCAACTGTCTCATTCACCGGTTGATCAGAGATACACTCACAAATCTCACAGCATTCGTGATAACGCAAGTTGGTCTGGTACACAGCGACCGAGTTTACTGGACACGTGCAACGACCGCGGCGCACAGTGGTAACGCCTGAATCGTGCCGTTTCTCCATCAAGCACATGGCCCTCTGTGATCGGCAGACAAGTTCAATATCGTCACAAATCTCCCCGATGTCCACTGCAAAAGTAAGGAATACGAACAGCACAAGAACGTGAGTGGAGTAGAGCGTAACATTATGTGTATGCGAATTATATGGGGGAATGTATGCGATATTTAACTGCAGCCTATGAGATGCAAATCGCAGGCGTTTAAATGGTCTATTTGCAGACTAATTCACACGTCCATGGTATAAGTCAAGAGTTGTACTTTGGTATATTCTTGTCCCTTGTGCACATGACAAGAGTGAGCAAGTTAAGCCTGTCTACTTCGGTGAACAAAAGCGCTTCGTGTATGATACGTAGGTAGATAAAATGCGCGTTCGTCCCAACAAGGTGGTTCCGATAAACATAATTCAAAGTCCGCGTTTACGTATCTGCTCAGCATAAGTTTTCTACCAACGGTTGTGACCTCATGATATAGCATAGCATGATCTGAGCAGAATAATGAAGCTAGCAAAGTGACACGCAATAACGCCCGAGTTAGAATAAAGTGAATGCTATCATCCTTCGAGGCGGACGTGCCATTACTGTTGATGAAAAAGTATGAACCAACGCGTTGACAAATAACGTGACATGTAAAACTTACTTAGGAGGGCATACTCCACTTACTCAGGCCACCGTCGTACACCCGCCACAACTCCATCTGACGCACGTGCACTATCCCATTTTGCTCATCCTCTAGTTCATCAGTATCCGGATCAGGGCAAGCACATCCAACGCTGTACAAAGTAAAATGAGAAACGATTTCCCTGATAAATGTCATACCAGTGTTGCTGGTACACTGCATGCTCTCGAATACAGTTTAGCTCCAATCCGAGCTAGCACTCCGTAAGTAATTGAGTACATTTAAAGTAGTATCATCGCAAAAGTTTTACACCAGATGGGTAAGAAAGTCAAGCAAAGATTTGATTAGTTCAGTCTCCGCTTAGCTGAAACATCATGACTACTGGTGGACACCCAAGGACTTGCCAGTTCAAATCTGGGCCGACCGATTACCTCAGCCTCACAGAAGCAACCAGGGAAGAAATCCGCCGTGAGTGAAAGTCATCTTAAAAGCACTTGAGAGTTTCTCAGCACTGAAAGACGTTCAGACAAAGCATTTCAGTTGATACAATCAATAGTCAAAACCCCGGCTGTCGTGTTCAGATATTTGGCTTTGCTTTTGCTCCGGATTCTCTTATCCGACTCACAATTCTAGTTAGCAGTCGTTGACCAGTCATATGGTCTTGCATTTGATTGGTTGCAATTCGAACGTCTAATTGTACTGCGCGTATGTGTAGACAATTTTCGCCATACATACGTTCTGGTGCTGCTCTGGTCTGCTGCTTTTCCGGTAAACGACGAATATCCCCGTCGCATGTTACCGATGTCTTTGCATGCTATTGCCCCTGCATGGTTCTAGACTGACTCTGTGGTTACCCCAAATGCAAGATGCTGGGAAGACTGGAAAAGTCTTTTCCGGATTATATTTCTGGGCTACGAGCTCCCAATCCATATATGACGCTGAAAAAGGGGAATACTTTAAATCTTTTACGCTTGCACCTCGGCTCAGAGGGTCGACGTATATTTGATGCTCTAAACCTGCGGGAGAAACCCATGTTGACAGAGGACATATGGGTCCTCGATAAACATTGGGGTGTTCGAGTGAACACCCATACTTCTCGGTACAACTTTTCGCAGCTGAAACAAGCATCTGATGAATCAGTGGATGCCTTCATTCCCTGCATTGTTTGTTCTGTTAGCAAATGTGACTACAATAGTATTCCCAAGAAAAAGTGGAAGAAACCATGCTAATGCAACCATTGATTTCGGGTCTCACGGATTCTCGGATCAGAATAATTCTCTTGGTGGAGAAGGCAGAAAAGCTCATAGGGGACATGGCTTGTGCCGTGACTCGCGCGAAGGTAGCAGTCAGGGAACAAAACAAACTTTTCTGTCTAACACAGGAGCTACTGAAATTGACTGTTTCGATTCTACACACTCACTGACGCGATCCTCAGTTAGAAATAAGTGTTACCGTTGTGGAAATGCTGAACTTCGCACAAATGATAAGTCATGTCCCCCAAAGTGTGAAATCTCCCGGAATTACGGTAAGACTGGTCATTTTGCTCGGGTTTGTCGTTCCCGCGCCATTTCTTTAGTTGATTCTGCAAATGACTCTAGAGCTTCTCTGGTCACCACTGAACAACCCATATATGTCGTTAATGAGTGCGAACATACACTTTCGTTTTCAACTCATGAACTCAAACTGCCTTCGCCAGATATTCGTTGCGCTTTTGAAGTTAGAAACAAAACTGCTCGTCTAGACATGAAATTAGATTCCGCGTCACCAATCCTATTTGTGCAGTATTGTTGTTACAAACAGCATTTTAGTCAGCTAACTGTACATCCTTCCGCTTACACTTTCAGCAGCTACTCCAATGGTGAGGTCCACATACTCGGTTTCCTAACATTTCAATGTTTCGTATAAACAGCAGGAAGCGTATAGTTGAAGTTTACGTCTCTAAAACCGAATCAAGCTCTATTGGGACGAAATGCTATGGTCGTGTTGAACGTATCACCATGCGTCAGCCGGATGACCATTGGCAGCGTCAACATTCAATCGTTCCGGTCCAGTTACTCAAAATCTCTTTCTTCCGGATATTGGTAGAGTCCATAAAGCAATGCACCGCATTCGGTAGAGCGCGGATCACAAACCGTTCAGCATATCATAACGTTGGCCTGTACCTCTGGCAAAGTGAGAGGGCCATGTCGCAACCTTTGCCAAATATGGTCACGGAAGATTTGATAGAACCCATACGGTGTTCCGAATGGTTTCATCCACTAGTTGCCGTTCAAAAGAAACATGGCTCTATTCGTCTATGTACTGACATTCGAACGCTCAATAGACTTATAATTGTGGTCAATTTCCTTCTGCCTTCTCTCGACGAGTTGATGGTTAGGCTTTCAAAAACCCAAACTTTTCGCATTGCTGGATATTCGCAGTGCATACTACCACATGCCACCGACTCCGGATTGCCAACTTTTGACTGCTTTCCTCAGGCAAGACGGTTTGTATCAATACAAAGTGCCACCAATGGGCCTTAGTAGTGCTCTAGCAGCTTGGCAGAAATTTACCACTCTCTCGTTATCATATCTCAAAGGATGTGTTGTGTGTATATGGATGATATTTGTGTCTTTGGTAGTAACCCTACCGAACATCAGGAAAGCCTTCATAATGTGCTGCATAGACTGAATGAACTAAATCTCCGCTTGAATGCCAACAAATGCCATTTCGCTGTAGCGGAGGTGGAGTTTATTGGACACGTTATTTATACCTCGGGTAGTAAGCCTAATGTGCAGAACACCAGAGCCATTCTCGATTGTCCAAAACCATGTAATGTTACACAGATGAAGCCTTTCTTGGGTTTGTGTTCTTAATACGTTCGACATTTACCGAATCTTGCGACTATTGCCGAGCTGTTACGGAGGTTGCCGCGCCAAAACCAGGAGTTTCGTTGGGCCACTGAACAAGACAATGCTTACAGGAACATACGAGCGATGATTGAATCCACTCCCACGGTACCGATCTTCAATGAGCACTGTCCATCGTTTGTTTCAACGGATGCTTCAGATGTTGGCTTAGGTGCAGTTCTGTCCCAGCTGCACGATGGCGTGGAGAAAGTGATTGCGTACCTATCACGTACCTTGTCTGATACTGAGAGAAATTATTACACAGAAGAGAAGCAGGCCCTCACGTGCGTCTGGGCATGTGAGAAATGGCACTTTGACTTATTCGTACGTCGATACACTTTGTGCACTGATCATTCTACTCTTACAACGCTATTGAGTTGCGGTAACAAAAACCAAAAGCCGGTACGCTTGAGTCGCTGGTACTCACGTTTATTGAACTATGATTATGAAATAAAATACGTGCCAGGGTGCTCTAATCAACTTGCAGATGCCCTGTCGAGACTCCCACTGTCCAAAGGGGAACACGAAGATTTAAAGGAGGTAAAAATGGTATCACAGCCCTCAGACGCAACACCTGCAATAAGATTTGACCTGATACGAGAGCACACTGAGAAAGACCCTGTCCTAGCGAAGCTTCGGGAGTACATAACCACTTCATGGCCCAGTCGTACCAAGACCCAACCTGAGTTACTTCCATAATATACCCTACGACACGAGCTTTCTACTGTGAGCAAGTACATTATAAGAGGTGAGCAGTTTGTGGTCCCTACAACCCTTATTCCTCTGGTGGTCGCATGTGCGCTTGAAGGTCATCCAGGGATTGTGCGAACAGAAGCCTGTCAACAATCCGATAATAGTGGGAGGCCCCTGAATGCTCTAGTCTCACCTATCGTGTACCCGATGAAGCCATGGGCAAAACGTGCCACCGATATTATAGGCCGGTTTGCCAATAAAACCCTCTCAGAAGCGAAACGTGCTAGGGGCTACATGTTTCTACAGCAAATGGCCAGAAGCTATGCGGGGACCTAACTACAGCCGTCATCATAAAGTGGCTCCCGTGTTTCTTTACAAGGTACGGTTTGCCAGAAGCAATAGCCACTGATAACAGTCCACAGTTTCGAAGTAACGAGTATGCTGAATTCCTAAAACGCAATGGTATCAGACACACCAGAACTGTACCTTATACTCCGGAGGCGAATGGACTCGTCGAACGACTTAATCGTACTTTAAAAGGGTCTCTACAAGTCCTTCGACTTTCGTGAGAATCCTGGGTTGTTGCGTTGGTATCTGCATTGGAGGTATACAGAAGCAGTCCACATACTGCAACGGCAACGGCCCCCTTCGGAACTAATGCTAGGGCGAACAATTCGAACCCGATTAAACAGCCTTTACATCAGAAGAAACCGCAGATCACAGAGAATACGAAAGAAGAGCTGTTTACCAGGCTAAAGATAGACGCGTTGGGAGGACGTATCCTCCAGGGACATTTGTTCGTGTGAGACTACCCTATTCTCCGAAAGGAAGTGATGTGTTCGGACCGCCAACCCGTGTGGAATCTGTGTGCACGTCAGGAACTTACAAGTTGGCTGATGGGACAAAGGTGAATGCAGGACGGCTGCATACAGCGCTTTCCCAACGTGCTATTGAATAGACGAACACACCTACAACACAGAGCTCCTTGTAAACTAATACAAACTTACGACGTTCCGGTCGGATACACCGCCCTGTCCACCGATACGCCTTAATGTATAACACCACATGACAATTCTTCAAGGTGCTGGCATTAAATTAGGTCGTTCATGGACATATAGTACTTATATTTTTATGTACAGAGGAGGGGACAATGTTGTGTTCAAATACTTTTTTTATTTTTGCTCCGGATTCTCTTATCCGACTCACAATTCTAGTTAGCAATCGTTGACCAGTCTTGTGATCTTGCATTTGATCCGTTGCATTTCGAACGTCTATCGATTTAATTGTACTGCGCGTATGTGCAGACAGTTTTCTCCATACATAGGTTCCGGTGTTGCTCTAGTCTGCTGCTTTTTCGGGATACAACAATGACCTTCTGCGCATTGAGTTTTTGGTAGATCTGGTACCGATGACGCCTATTCAGGCTGAGGTGTCTTCCCAGCGACTGGCTTTACGCGATTCCGTGAAGGTAGCGAGTGAAGCAGGTACAGATTTCGCCACATCAGATAATTGCATAGTTGTATAACAAAAAGTTAACAGACTCACATGTGTCTGAACCAACGAGAGCAGTGAAACCATTCGACTGAGTAAGGGGTGTAAAGATGACGTAGTTAGTAC